ATCACTGTGTTTGGATATGTGTACAGGTCAGTGTGTGTGGATATGTGTACAGATCACTGTGTGTGGATATTTCTTTCTGACACAAATTAACATATCAAACTGGTGTGTATAAACGTTCACAGCTGTTATATCAATATTTGTCACTTAATAGTAACAGGACTATTGCATCAACAAACCCCTGGTTTAGATGTGTTATGGATAAACTAGACACCATTGGATTATCTTATGTATTTAGCAATCCGTCAATTTGCACAACAAAGTGGTTAGTGTCAGAAGAAAAGCGAATACTTAAAGATTATTTTTTTTCAGAAATGGAGAAGTGACGTTAATTCAGTTCTAAAGGATTATATTATAAACATTTAAAGGACACTCCGGTTCTCGATAAATATCTTCTATTGCCAAAACGAATATCAATTCCAGTACTACGATTTCGAAGCTGTAATCATAATTTACCTAATGAGACTGGTCGATGTAAAATAATCCAAAGGAAAATAGAACCTGTATATTATGTAATTCGCCATCTATTGCTGATTAATTGCGCTACTTTTTCAGATGTAATTGTTTTAAAGAGAGAGGCAAACATTTTGATCATCATACTATACTGAATGGCCAAATATTATAAAATTTGTAAAACTCTTATCAACAAAAAACACACAGGATCTAAAGAATTTATCTAGAGTTATTGTACAAATGTCCATTAGTATTAAAAATGCTAGGTAATCACATGTTGTTATTAACTGCGATCTTGTCTGCTATTTGTACATATACATACTTATTTATTTAATATGTTCTTGTACCACTTTTTGTGTTTTTTTAGAATAAACTTATTCTGATTCAGTGAAAGGTAGTATACTGACCAGCAAAAGAAATTACACTATGTGGTATCATACCATGTCAGAGGTCTGATTGGTCTACGTGATCTTGATAAAATACTTTAACATACCTCCATGTCAGAATGATGAGATCTGATTGGTCCATGTGATCTTGATAAAATACTTTATCATACCTCCATGTCGGAATGATGAGATTTGATTGGTCTACGTGATCTTGATAAAATACTTTATCATACCTCCATGTCAGAATGATGAGATTTGATTGGTGTACGTGATCTTGATAAAACACTTTAACATACCTCCATGTCAGAATGATGAGATCTGATTGGTCTACGTGATCTTGACAAAATAGTATGTTTCCAGCCTTGGAGGGAAATTAATTTCTGAGAGACAGAATAAATCCCGTATACCCCGACATCGAAGCTTTTTCCGAATCAATGAAAGTCACGTGACATAGCACAATCTATCCTCTTCTCAATCGATCAATTTTTAATTTGTTTCAATTCTTTTACACTGTGATAATAAAACATGTAGGTAAGATATGTTCGTTGTAGCAGGATCACTCAGGGCACGTGGGTTTTTTATATGTCCCAAACCTAACGCGCGACTCCCCATGTACTCATCGTACAGCTGTAAAACCAATCGCAGAAAATCAACAGATATGGCGCCAACTGAATATATTTTAATGTAGTTCACTGAAGTCTGTGTAAAGTCGCGTGCGCGCACAGCATGGTCACAAGATACATATGGATATAAAAAGAACAACTCACAATATTCGTCAAAGCAGAAATTCGCCCAGACATCAACAGTAACATGCCATAGGTATCGGCAGAATAGAGAGTATTGGTATGTGACTTGTGCGCCATGCATGGCACCCTTGTGAGACACTCGTACAACAATCACAAGGTTGATGTCACGATCCCCACAGACAGGGCCGACTCGGGGCAGGCAGATCGCGTGTTACACCCAACAAACATCTTTATTTGCCTACTCTTCATTTGAGGAACCGCCTCTTTATTGTGACGTTATCGCGGTCAACTGCTCTTGGACATGTTGTCAGCCGCGTCGCTGTATCCATGGTATTCAAGCCCAGAGGATCACGATAGTGATTCATAAACACATGCTCATAATATAGTCGGATTTGTACAATGTATTCTGCTTTATGCAGAGATTTCTATTGGGTATGGAAAGGGTTTTGTCGCTTTATTTGTCAACATCGACGTCAAAGACCGAGGTAGGTGAGCACTGTACAACTATGGAAGAACAGGAACTGTCATAGGGTCATGTTTTCTGAAAACACCAGGTTCCAACTCTTCAGAACGGATGCGTGTGTATCGTCGTCGGGAAGAAGGCACGGCTCGTTCTTGTGTCAGAGGACAGTATTTTGGACGTGGCAGCAGAATGTTTTGGGTCGGGATTTGTGGACAGGAAAAGACGGAACTTGTGGTGTTGAATCTAGCAGCACAATGTGACACCGACGCAGTATTGTGTAGTTGTACTTTCCAACAACAGAGGCCACGTTCCAACATAACAACGCACGTCCATATACAGAACTTATCCCGCGATATGCCAAGGAGAGGCACGGGCCACCGAGCCGTGGGTGCCCGTGCCTATAATAAAAACAGAAGATGAGGTTGGGTTAAATGGCCGAGGGTGTGCAGGTACTAGTGGGCTACTTAGCTGCTAATTGTGTATACCAAAATGCTACCGTTGCCATGGCCACGCGCGTGGCCGACGGCGATTGCAGCTAGCGCTGCTGGCCTTGGACTGCTACCGCTGTCCGGCCCCCACGGTAGCATATTTAACCGCTACCATTGCTTGGCAACTCCCACGCTGCCAAAAGCAGCTCCACGCTGCTGGCCTAAGTCAGACTGCCGCTGCCCGGCCCCAGGTAGCCGGCCAAAGCAGATCACACTGCCCGGCCCCATTAGCAAAACCATTGTGCGGCCCCCGCCGCGGACCCAACTGTCAGCTACCGCTTGACAAGACGACTTCCGCCGCCGGGCCCATATACGTGGCAATTGTTTGCCCCAACGTATGTTATTTTACGATTCCCCGGCTGAAAAGTCGGGAAAGACAAGGTTCCCACTGAGAAGCAGGTAACCCCGGAAAGGTTCCCGCTGAAAAGCAGGTAGCCTTAAGCACGAGTATTAATTTGGAAGCAAGTTAATTTGTTACTAGCAGTGTAGCCCACAAGAACCCCGCCACAAAGCACCTGAGTGCTACCCCACACCCACGGCCACGCGATACGCGGGGATAGCATTGTTGCCCGGCTTGCCTATGTACTGAAAGGAAACACTAACCTGTGGAGATCATATCCTTACTGGCGCAAAACGAGCGCCAGGGCATGCAATAAATTGTCCGTAAACACACACAGTCCTTTGTCGCTGAGGTGGACGCCCTCCCAGGCGTACCATGTCTTGTCTGATGCCAGGATCTGGGGATGTGGCACCATTGTACCGCCGAGCTCTTTGACTCGGTTGGCCAGTCGGCGGTTGATATTCTTCCGCATCCCCTCGATCTTTAGTGGGTCCCTGGCATCGTGCCAGTAGCGCCTGGGCAGCATTGAGGATACGATGATCCTGGTGTCAGGAAGCTGGAGTTGTATCCGAAGGATTGATGCCACCATGTCAAGGTAGAGTTGGCTGCCCTTGACCGAGCACAGGTCGTTTGAGCCCAGGTGAATGATGAGGGCTCTGGGGCTGCGCCGTGTCGCCTTGACCTGTGCATCCAGAATGGTGTCCAGCTCCTTCCACCTCATCCCCCCTCGTGCCAGCCATAGCATCCTCGGTTGGTTCGGACTGGTGCCCTTCAGGAGCAAGTACTGCCGTGCCCTGGCCATGTAGCTGGATCCCACCATCCATAGTTGGTCCTGAAACACTGAAATGCCGTTGTAACTCGTAAGAAATGTTAACCACATTTGTAGGTCTTCCTTGACCCAGCTGGTAATCCTAATGTGGTGAAATGGTTGCTTACCTTTGCTAAGCAGATCGATTAGCCTGCGGCTGAATGCCCTTGCCATTGGTATAGCCCTGCACATAAAGTTAAGCTTGCCTATGAGGGACTGAAGGGCCCTTTTTGTGACCTTGATGTTACCTGTTGACAGGATGTCATGGATTTCCCTTGTTGCCTCCTTGATCTTGGGCTCTGGGATTCTGATCTGCATTGCAATGGTGTCGATTTCCAGCCCTAGGAATGTCAGTTTGGTTGTGGGGCCCACCGTCTTGTCGTGCGCAATAGGAACCCCGAGCTGTTCAAGTGTATTCACGCATCCGTTGAGGTTGTCTGAGCAGTGGCTGGTGTCTGCTGTGCCCCCCGTTAGGAAGTCGTCCAGGTAATGCATGATCGGACGCGTTGGAAGATGCGATTGCATGCACCATTGCAAGAAGGTACTAAACGTTTCAAATATGGCGCAAGATATGGAGCAGCCAAATGGTAAGCATTTATCGAAATAGAACTCACCTTCGAATCTGATGCCTAGCAGCTCGAAATCGGATGGGTGGACTGGTATAATTCTAAAGGCCGACTGAATGTCGAATTTTGCTAGTAGTGCTCCCTTTCCCAGTTGTTGAACCATATGGGTAGCTTCATCAAATCTGGCGTACACAACAGAGCAGGCCTCTGTGTCTATGAAGTCATTTATAGATTTACCCCTGGGATAGGATAGATGGTGAATTAGACGGAATTCCTCCGCATGCTTACCCAGGTGTTGACCATACCCTGGCTGCTTCTTGGGCACCAGGCCTATTGGGGATACTTGGAGGTTGACTAGGGGGGTGTCCTTGAAGGGGCCCGCCATCCTGCCAAGGTCGACTTCCTTTTGTAGTTTTTGTTTCACGTAGCCTGCCGTGTCTTGGTGCGTGGCTGATCGCAAGTTTCGTGCCAGGCGACCCGTGCGGCTTCCCTGGAACTCGAGCTTAAAGCCAAAGCTAAAACCTACCCATAAATAATTTGCATCTCTGTAATTGACCCTAGCATATTGGCGTAACCAAGGTGCCATTTCATTGAGGTCCACGGGGGAAGGGGCCATTGAATTTACCTGCCTTGCCGGGTTGTTTTCTGTTAGGAAAAGGCTGATTGGGCTTGTATGGGGTCGGTTGGACCCCATTCCCTCGAAAGCAGGTCCTAGAGCTATGGGAATGTTCGCCACACTTACCGCATTTGTGAGTGTACTTACAGTTAACCCTGCTACAGCCAAATTTATTGAAATCCCAGCATACCTGACTGGCGATGTCCCCCTGTACGCGTGTCATTGCGCCCCGTCCGCCTGATTCTGGTTGACGTACCGGCTGTGTTACCATGTACTTCAGCCACAACTCCCCGTCGATGTTGTCCCAGCGTCGTGAGGGGTCCCTTGACATTCTGTGTCGGAATTGTTGGTCGTAGGTTGACCAGGCATCCCCCCCGAATCGAAGCGCCGCCGTCCGTATGGTTTCCATGTAGGACAGCAACCCCTGGGTTGTGCGGACCTCGGAGTGCCTACTAATATATATACACATGAAAATGTGGAAAGCTGAAGTCCAGCTCGCCAGGGACAGACGCTTTGGTTGCTGCTTAATTGGTTTAAAAATTACCTTACCTGAGGAGTCGTACGCCATGGTAATCGTACCGTCCTCGTGACCTCCCTCGTTGTTTGGTAGTATTGTGCCGAGGTCGACATACTCGCCACGCCAGATTTTTTCCCTCACCTGTTGTTTGACGTGCGCGTCTATCCCGTCCGCACGGAAAGAAAGGGAATCCCCGTATCCTGTGGTGTGATTGGCTGGCCAAGCCGCGTCACCGTCGGCCTCGTTGAGGGCATCGGGGATTCTCCCTATGTTGGGCGAAATGGCGGGCGAACTAAAACCACGCCTTACCTGTTGGTTTGCGCTAACCGGGCCAGGCGCTGAATGTTCCAGCAACTGGAGTATTTTTTCCAGTTGCTCGTTTACCTGGGTAGCCGAGTTGGCAGCCTGTGCGGCATTTACAAGCTGCGCCGATTGCACGTTAATTCTGTTGCCACCTTCGATATTGCCGTGATTGGCAGACTCACCATCGGCTGTTGCCTCCTGTACAATGTGTACTCCCGGGGTTTGTCTTCTGGTTGTCCTGGGCTGCTTGGCTCCCCTCACCAGCTTGTGGTTGACGGTTGCTCTTCTCTTGGGAGGCATCACGAAAGGTCGAGGTGGTGAGTTGGTATTCCACAAGCGTAAATTGTCCCGAGGGTGAAGTTCGGGAGTAGAACGGAATAAATGCGATACGGCGAGTGCTGAAAATAGATGGTATTTAAAGCGTAATCGGCGAAACGGTCGCGATTGTGTAAATGCGATACGGCGAGTGTTGGAATAGATGGTATTCGAAGCGTAATCGACAAAACGGTCGCGACTGGGTACAAAAGAAACGTCCAAAGCGAAAGAAAGCGTTTATAGACAGTGACACACGTGTGTACTGGGGAAGGTTTGAACGCGAATGACCGACTAACAAAGAGGGGATGATGCTTGCGCGGGATTATTCCCCGGGCACGGTGCCGAGTGGTGGCCCGGGGTGATTGGGTTACGAGGGGTGGTTGGGTTACAGACGTAATTAGCCCATGGTTTGGATACGCGCGATAAAGTCATTTAGTCGTTAGTACTAAATGTAAGTATCGGCCGTTACATTCAGCAGGTCGGTAATTTGGTGGTTAAGCGTCGTTCTCCTGAACTGTTGCCGATTAAAGATCTTTAGGACCATCTTGACCTTCAGATAAGAACACAATCTCACCCTCCAACAAGTATAGGAACATTGATAATGTATTTCGACGTCCAATGAACTCAGCATGACGTCGCCAATGGCGGACACGAACGCTATTGACTGTTACTATATGGATTCCTTTGATGCAGAGGGATTTTAATTTCAACCATATTGTGTTTCACAGTGGTGACTGTAAATACACACTATATCCATCCCCATGTCTTTGTTGGCCTGGGTCCTCTATTGTCGCTACCAGTGCATTGTAACTCTGTATCCCTTTGTCCTTGTTGTCCTGGATCCTCTATTGTCGCTACCAGTGCATTATAACTCTGTATCCCTTTGTCCTTGTTGTCCTGGATCCTCAATTGTCGCTACCAGTGCATTGTAACTCTGTATCTCTTTGTCTTTGTTGTCCTGGGACCTCTATTGTCGTTACCAGTGCATTGTAACTCTGTATCCCTTTGTCCTTGTTGTCCTGGATCCTCTATTGTCGCTACCAGTGCATTATAACTCTGTATCCCTTTGTCCTTGTTGTCCTGGATCCTCAATTGTCGCTACCAGTGCATTGTAACTCTGTATCTCTTTGTCTTTGTTGTCCTGGGACCTCTATTGTCACTACCAGTGCATTAAAACTCTGTATCCCTTTGCCCTTGTTGTCCTTTGACCTCTATTGTCGCTACCAGTGCATTGTAACTCTGTATCCCTTTGTCCTTGTTGTCCTGGATCCTCAATTGTCGCTACCAGTGCATTGTAACTCTGTATCTCTTTGTCCTTGTTGTCCTGGATCCTCTATTGTCGCTACCAGTGCATTATAACTCTGTATTCCTTTGTCCTTGTTGTCCTTGGACCTCTATTGTCACTACCAGTGCATTGCAACTCTGTATCCCGTTGTCCTTGTTGTCCTGGTACCTATATTGTCTCTACCAGTGCATTGTAACTATGTATCCCTTTGCCCTTGTTGTCCTTGGACCTCTATTGTCGCTACCAGTGCATTGTAACTCTGTATCCCTTTGCCCTTGTTGTCCTTGGACCTCTATTGTCGCTACCCGTGCATTGTAACTCTGTATCCCTTTGTCATTGTTGTCCTGGGTCAGTTGGTGTATTGTGACAGTGTGTTTGTGGCCGTCACAGTTACAAAGGGGCCCAGTATTCCTTTTTTCATGACAGGAGGCGTAAAACCCCTGGCCAACATTAGCCTTCTGTCATCCTTGGTTTTAGATCCTGGCTGCATTCAGGTGACATTGTAGCAGAGAAAGACACATCTTTGTCCCACATTAGATATAAGTATGTTCAGGTTTGTTTTCTTCAAATGGTGATTTTAAAGAACCACACGAATTCAAATCTATTTGCCACGTATAAACAATATCTGTAGCTATAAACCTGGTGGAGTGGACAACGTCTATTCCTTGGTCTGTACCACATGAACCCTACCACCGTGAGGCTATGATTCAGCCTGCATTCGTATCACCGCATACAATGTAGGTAACAAAAACAAATATTTGTCATTTCAAACACAAGTAGGCAGAGGTTTTTGAGTTTGCCAACCTATGTTTGCAAAAAGATGCTGTCGACTTTAAACATCGCTTCATGGTTCCAGCAAGTGTACGTCACCCCATGCTACAGTAGGCTTGTAAACGTGAACACAGGGTAAGACGGTTGTGTTGTCACCGACATCAAACTCACGAAATCTCAACTGTGTGTAGTTCAACACTAGTGCCTGGGTTAATAATTAGGACTGTGGCACAATCGAATAAATAATATATTTAGTGAATTGCTTACGATTCACTTTGATTGAATGAGTGCTTTCAAATCACCAGGCAATGTGAGGACACTGAGAATCTGGGACGATTCATACGACATACATAGAGTGTTGGTGACCTGTCATACCCCTGAATATTGCTGGGTGCTGGCTTTAGAACAGATCATCTCGGATCCATATTTTTGTTTTGTATTGAAAAAAACGAAAATGTACAAGATTATTACTCGTTAATAGAACCACTTCAGCCTTGATCATCATCCGGGACTTCGTCTGAGTTTAACGTCACTTGTGAACAATATTTTAGTTACATGACAGTCAAAGTTGTTAGTACATGTATTGATAGAAACCCATTCCAGATTGGAGGACCGGTTTATGTAACGATGCATATCGTTCAGCATGTATACTGCTGCAAAACAATATGAAATAGTGAAACCAGAATGGGAATTGCGATCGACCACGAGGTTTGTGATAACAGCTAAACTGGAATTGCGCTACTGGGAAGACAACCTTGACAAAAGTTCCGCCGTCACGGAATGCATTTGCAATTGAATAACCTGACTATGACGACACGTTATCTTTACCCAATGAAGGCAGGTGTCTGGAGCGTCACGCGAGTAGGCAACACTCAAAGTCCAGGTTTCGTTTTGAAGCTGAACAAGGCGACGGCCATATTTGGGTTCTTGTTTGTTTCTTGTAAGTAAAACATATCTACTCACTTCTTGTGATTATATTACCATCTTCTTAACATATATTATGTTGTGCCGCTTGATGAGTGTTTACAGCTGTCTGACTTTCATTATAGATCTTAAAGCATCAGTATGAACTAGTTGTGTCTGGTGTGTGTGTGTGTGGTTATGAGGAGGAATGCAGTGGATGTAGGTCGGGTTGGGTGGGGTGTTGATAGGGAAGGTGGACACGACGTCACCTTTTTACAGTTATTGTCAGTTAAAGAGTCAGCATGTCAACACAGTTTCTTGTATCGTATTTATGTGGATACATCTGCTACTCTCGCCAACTGTTTGTGTGAACAGTATATGTACACTCGTTAGACGCGAAGATCTGACCATGTCAAACACGGATCATGTCCCACCCTGTAATTTTTAGATTTGGAAAGGGTGCCAAGGATCAACAACTTTGTTTGCAGACACTTTGTAAGTGTTGTACAAGTAGAGGTAGAGTGGTGGGAACGACAGGTCATGTTGTAACATGCTACACAAGCTGGCCACGGCTGGTGGTGAAGTCATTCTATAGGTTGTCATGGCTGCCACTCTGACGTCACGATGTATGAACAGCGCTTCGACATGCCTGTCAAGTGCACGAACTGCAGTGATGTGTTTCTAGAGCGACACAGCCGGGGTATTGTAAAGTCGGGTCACTCATGTCATCTGCTTAGCTTTACAACGAATGCAACGAACACAGCTTCACACATAGCCTCTTTGCTGTGGTGGGCATCGAACGTTGAAATCCATGTTTTACATGTAAATTAACTGTGTATACATTTGTTCAAAGGGTTCTGTCGCTTTATTTAATTATTTTGTATTGTATTGAGACTGCAATCTAGATATATCGCAGCCCTTAGAAGAACATACATATTTTATTGGGCATTTATTTCATTCAAATCTACATATAACTAGATCAGTGGGTGAGTTTAACGCTGTGTTTAACAGTATTTCATTTATGAGCTTATGTGGGTGGAAAGCCCGAAGTAATGCAGGTCTACTCCGTTTACTCCTTTGGTAAAACCCACGAGCACGGGAATGGTGCTGAAAAACGTAGACACAAAATCGCGGCGAACCTGGAATCGAACCCACAATCATAGGTTTCTGGCGTACCCAATGGACGCAACTTTGCACAGTGAATCGCGGCTCCTTAGACGGCTAAGCTACCCGTGGCCCCTATAACATAAAGGAAACCCATTTGTCTTTGTAAGATATTATGGGAAATAAAGGGACGAAGGTATCTACTTCAACACATTATACATGTAACAATACAACATGGAGAATTGCAATCAAAAGTACGATTTTCGCAAGGAAGAATTTGACCAGGACTTCTAACGCAGTATAAAAGCGCATTATGAGTTTAATTTAAGCTATTAATGTTTCCCTTTTACTTTGAAGAACTGTACCTTCATCCCAGCGACATTCCCACACACATGACGTCAAAAGATGGCTGCCCGCCACGTTGTCGTCATCCGGAGGAACCACAAGTACCTGAAGGAGTACCTTCAGGTGGACCCTGTGCTGGACGCCTTGTTGGAGGACGATGTCTTCACACAGGAGGACTATGACAGGTGTAGACAGGCTGGGTCGGAGAAATGTGAGAGGCTGTTAGAAATATTAAAGAAGAAGGGACAAGAAGGGTACTGGACACTGTGTGCTGTCCTTGATTCCTCACAGCCGTTCATCAAACAACGGCTTGATGAAACCTCCATGGAAGCAGGTATGTAAGTAGGGTTGTCACAAGCTGCCAGAACTGCCAATAGCATACAGCTATCAGTTGGTCTAGTATTTCTGGAACTGTGTTTTTTGTGCATCAGAAATGTAAAATAATATCCCGCTCTTGGAATTGGTTTAGATTGTTGTTTGGAGAACTAAATTCTGCCAGGTTACCACATTAAGCCTGGATATTCATTTAGATCACAGCCAGAAAGTCACAAGGTCATTCTCTCCCATTCAACAAATAATATCACACGTTTATATCAATACATTGGGGTAAGTCTATGACAGTACGTATGAACATAAAAAAAACATTAGAAAAAATAAAATGATTTTAAAAAGATAAATGCAGTACAATATGATATGATGCCGATAAAGAGAAGTGCTATCAACCACAGATGTGCCTAGTTAGTAGCTACTCAACAGAGGAAACAAAATGTCTTCAAACAGCGAGTTATATATTGTCTTACTGTTTTACTACACGCGCACTACTCTACTCTTCAGGTTGTTCAGATCTCGTCTATGTCAACAAGTTCAAGCTGGAAGCTCAGTACAAAAAGGAACTTGGTGACAAAGAGGACCAGATAGCTGAACTGCAATCTGTGAGTAGTCCGAACACAGTTAAATCTTGTCTGCTCGTCATGTTAAGATACCCCTGTATTGAGATGAGATAGGTATGTATGAATTAGTACTGCACATGTATTAGGTATCAGAT